GATACTAATCGGCCTGCCACAATCTAGTCAGTTCCGGCAGGCTCTCGGATTATCCCGCTGGGTCCAAGAACAACCAACACTCCACTTTGTATCGGTTTGTGGGCGATGCCAATAGAGCAAACACGCTAATTCATTCACAGGCGGGGGAGACAAAACTAACAGAACTCTTGACTCTCAGAACTAATGCAATCGGCTCCAAAAAGGCCGATGGTGAGAGCGCTTCTGTTTTCAAGTGACCCCCCGCTTTGCTGAAAACAAAGTGAATATTGTATAAGACAGACTGTGTGTGTTGCGTGTGTGTGTGCATGTGTGTGTGTGCGTGCATTGTGTGTGTATGTGTGCCTCAGGTCAGCCTATGTGTGTGTGTGTGTGTGTGTGTGTGTGTGTGTGTGTGTGTGTGTGTGTGTGTGTGTGCGCGCGCGCGCGCGCGCGCGCTTGTGGTCAGGGTGGACTCACGTAAGTTGCACTACATCAGGAAGCCTCTGATCCGCCACCGGCTGGTGTGCGCCCAGGCCTGCAGCAGACAGCTCAAGTCGGGACAGGCGCAAAGCTCCATCCTCCTCTTGCTCAAACGCTTTCACGTCATCAGGTCCGCTTCCACCACATTTACTCAAATGATGTCTAAAAGCCAAGCGTGGCTTTATTCTTGTTGGTGACCACATTTCCCCTTGTGAAATTGCAACCTTTTTCTCATGACTTGTGTTCCTGTCAAATTGTGACTCTTCTTGTTCGAATTTAAAAAAAATTTTTTGTCAAATTTGAACTTATTTTCATGCGGAATTACAATTTGTAATTTGTCCTCTATGATTTCCACATGCATCGATAACATTTCTCGACAATTTTTTTCCCCCCCTCTGAAGTTATGAACTTTTAAATTGAGAACTAGAGTCAATTAGGTTTCCTTCATGAATAGAAACAAAGAAAATTTTTAAATTTTGGTGCTATAGTGGTCTACGTCCAAACATCCGTCATATCGATCAATCTTTCATGAAAGATGATGAATTAAAAAAAAAAAAAAAGAGTGAGCCCACTATTGTTCTCAGTGGCTCATTTGAAATCACTTTTAAATAAAAAAAAAATAAACTAAATAAAAACTACAATGTCCACAATAATGTTACAAATAATAGAATTTAAAACAATGTTCTGTTGCATCCTTGCAGGAGGTCCAAGTACGATTTGCTGATGGAGGGTGTGTCCAACATCCTCCAGAAGATTCCACGCCAGCTGGCCGCAATGGTCACCATACGGGAGCACCTGGTTGGCGCCTTTGATTTTTCTTTTCTTTTTTTCTTGTGGGGGGGGGGGGGGGGGGGTGATTGTTTTGTGTTGGTTGCGCTCTTCATCCTAATCAATATTGTTGGATGGTAGAATCTGCCGGAGGGGCTTTGCAAGCGTGTGTTTCGGCACATGCGAGAGGCCAATTTGGTGGAATACTGCAGCGTGCCTCTAGAAGACTTGGATGAGGAGAAAAAACCCGTGCGTACCAGAAAAGGTAAATCATTCTTGTACATTCAGGTTATCCGAAACAGATGCTGCTGTTAACATGGAAAAAAAAAATACAGGGTTAAATAAAAAATACTGCAACTTTCTCGATGCAATTTTGAAGACAATATAATTAAGCAATAATGGTGATTTAAGAATACCTTTTAAATATCCTGGAAAATGAAATAAAATACTGAAAAAAGGCAAAGATAAAAAAAAAAAACAAAATGGCTTCCCCCCTTTTCTTCTTTTTTTTTAAATAAACATTTTCAAGTGCAACCATTTTTCTCCCCCCTCACCCACGGCAGGCAATAAAGTGCATGTCCGCTGCCTGAAGCTAATCAAGCCATACAGAGGCAAGTTCACCACCGCGGCGGACGAGTGGAAGGACGACGAAGACAATGAGGAGGACGACGATGACGACGACGAGGATAGCGACAGGAGGCGAGCTCTGCCCCCTGTGGGCCGGATCATGGAGCAGGACGTTTTGTCACAGGCATACAAGCTGGGTGCGTTGTTGCCGTTGTATAGTGGTTACATTTTTATTTATATATTTATTTGGGGGGGCTTTTCTTGATGCAGTTGCATCGTATGGCACCAAGGGAATCCCTCAGTCGGGCATCGCGTCCAGGATGAACGTCGGCAAGCTGGAGGCTCGCATGCTGTGGAGGAAGTTGGAGAGGGACGGCGTCATCAAGGTAAGACATTTTTAGTCCCGCCATTGATGTACCCCAGTCCAATTACATGTGTTTGAGGGCTCTCCAACCAACCAACTTCACTGAAGGATTGTACAACATCACTGGGTTGTCGTCTTTTTCAGAAAGTCCAACAGACTGTTGTCTGTGTTCTTTTTATGAAAGTGAAGCTCATGTAAAATAGTTTGTCTTGTTTTTAGAAAAGTTGAGCAGCAACTTTGTTTTATGAACAGTAAGCATCATGCTTATCTGCTTTTCAAGAAAGAGGAACAGGCCCAAGCAAGGGTGTATTTGTCTTCTATACAGGAATGGGAAACAGCAATTGTATGTCTTTGTTTCAGGAAAGTGCAACATCAATAGTTTGTCTACATCCTGGGAAAGAGCAACGTCAAGAGCCTTTTTAGAAAAGAGCAACACAAAGTTCATCTTCCTATTAGGGATTTGCAATATCAGTGGCTTGTTTTCTTTTTCGGAAAGTGTAACATCAAAAGCTGCTTTTGATTTTTGAGAAATGAACCTTCAAGTGTGTCTTCTTTTTAGGAGACTACATCAATGGCTTGTCATCTTGTTTGAGCATAAATCAGCGGGGTGCTAACATGACATCTCTTTTGCCTTGCAGGGCTTCATGGTGGACGAAGGCCGTCAGAGAGTTACATATTTCCTCAGCCACCGGTACGGTTGGTGTTTTCAATTCTCCCTGTCAAATGGTAAACCTTGCCGTGACGATTACTTTTGGCCTGAACCAGGAGCGTGGGTGGGAGTGACGACCTGCAGCTTCTCTCTAAAGAGAAGCAACGCAAAAAGCTTTTCCACTCCTCGGCCTCGCCCGTGTCAACGAGCACACCCAAGGCCTCCTGTCCTACCCCGGCCGCTGGCAAACAACGACAGAAAACCCCCACGAAGAGCAGAGGAGCGAGCGAAGAGGTGGAAGAGGAAGGCGAGGATGCAAGTTTAGACTCGCCAGATAAAGTTGGGAAGGAATCAACTGGAAAGGCCGTAAAGAAGCCGAAGGCGGCCATCGCAGACGTTGCTCCAATTCCAGCGGTACCAGACGCAGAGCCTGTTAGCACCTCAGGTAAACTTTAGCCAGCTGGCCTCCTCTCCGAGGGGGACGGCAAAGGAGAAGCGGCAGTAAAACATGCCAAAATTCCTTGTGGTCAAGTTGAGATTTAAACATTTCAACTGAGCTAGCCGGTCTAATTTTTGTCAATATTCATTGTAAAGTACTGTAGTCTGAACAGAGAATTCTCAATGACAGGCTGACTTATTTTTTTCAGCTGTGTCACCAAAAGACCAGCCTGTTTTCAGCGTAGTGCTAAAATGAAACACAAGGTGCCATCGCTTTAGTCAGACAGAAAGGTGGTTAGCCACATAGTATTTTATGAGTAAGTTAAAGATTGAAAAGCCTGAAAACCACATCTCAGGTGAACTGGGAAGCCAGTGCAAGTTGGACAGTGAAGGGGTCACTGTAATGTCCTGTGGCTGCTTTGCTACATCTGGCGGCGGGTGTCTTTAATCTGTGCAGAGTAAAACAAAATCTCAAGATGCTAAAAGCCTTTCTCATCCAAAATTTGATTTTTGCTTGTCAGAATAATTCTGCTAAGCCACAAAAATGGATCACTATGTGATTATTTATTTCCCTTTAATATTGTCACGACTGGACAGTTACCATTGTGGCTTTTTTTCTCTCTTTAATGGCAGCCCAACATTGAATTCTTTCTTTCAGAGCGAGCTTCAGTCGAGGAGAAAGAGGAGGAGGAAGGATCTTTGCCTCTATGCCAGGAGGAGGAAGGGACTGCAGTGGACCTTGTAAAGGACATTGTTGTGGTGAATGAAGTTGACAACCAGGTGGTTTGTCTCCCCCCCCCCCTTTTTTTTTTGGGTTGGTTGTCACTTTCAAATCCGTCAGTCAAACGTGGACGTTAAACCAGCAAACTCCTTTCCAGCCCGACACCAGCAACCGCAGGCACCGGGAAACGTACCGCGTGCTCAGGCGGAAAAATCTCATCATTGAGGCCGTGCACAAGCTCAAAGTCATCGACGGCCTTTACCAGTCAGTCTCATGCCCAACGATGGCCTTTTATTTTAGCGAAAAATGCTAATGATGCTCTCCTCCTTTTTTTTTTCCTTTCCTCTGCTGCAGCCTGCAGAAGCTGATCAATGACGAAGAGAAGCTGCAGGGTCTCACCATCAAGTGCTGCAAGAAGACCACAGCGCGCCTCGTCCAGACTCTGTCCAGAGAAGGACTGCTCAAGATTTTTACCACCAACGTCATACAGGATGGCATTACCAGGAAGGTGCGAGAAAAAACACACGCACGCACACACACACACACACACACACACACACACACACACACACACACACACACACACACACACACAATTCTAATCTAGTTGGTATGTTTTCTTCCAGATGGAGTTGTTCGTTCATCCGTCTGTCCAGCCCAGTGACGAGTTGGTGAGAGCCAGCATCGATCAGGTCCGCTTCAAAATCACCAGCTCCTGCGCTACATCGTGGTGAGCGGCCAAAGAAGTCGGCTTGATTGGATGCAGCACAGCCAAAGAAGTCGGCTTGATTGGATGCAGCACAGTTTTTCCCCCCATTCCAAAGTAATTAATTCTGAAGTCTCTGCAGCCAGCAGGCAGCGAGCAAAGACAGCCCTCTCAAAGTGGAAAAGCAAGAGACCAGTAAGAGTTTCAAGAGCTTTGCCGAAATCAAGGAAGAATACGCAGTCGAGGCCGCAAAGTTCAAGCCCACTGTAGGTGAGTAAAGATATGTTTAAAAAGACACAAGAAGGCTGACATTTTAGTAATTTGGGTCATTTATGTTGGTCCTTCACACAATGAAAATACAGCGCCTCAAGATGGTTTTAATGAGGAGCGTGAATGTATTAGTCATGTCAAGAAACCATTTTGGTTTGAAGTGCCCATTTTGTTCATGCTGGCCAAAACGAATTTCTTCGCAAGATCTTGTCCGATTGCTCTCAAATTTGAATACTAGACAAATGCATCACCAAAAATTCTGAAGTTGTGGAGTTTTTGTCACTGCATGTTGACTGTGCATGGGGCACAATTTTGAATATTCGCCCTAAAACACAAACCACGAACAACTCGACATTGAAAATGTTGCCTCTCTAGATAGACAGCCTCTTCAGTGAGCAAAAAAAAAAAAAAATCAGCTAAAGATAAAGAGTGCTAATTTTGGAAAAAGCGGCAGTAGGATCTTCCAGAATTTTCAAAAGAATTCAGCCCTCTAAGAGAATTTTATTTAGCAACATGAAATTTATTCGTCATCCCACCATGAAGTTTCTAAAAGCCGTGCTGGAAAAACCCCATGGAGGCTGCCATTTTGAACAGTTTTGAAAATTAAGCCTCCCAATGGTAACTTCTCTTAGCAAGATTGAATTGGATTGCGATGTCTACGTCTATCCTGAGTCAACCCACAAAATAGTCTGAGGAACCCATGCCCAAAAGGACGGAGAAAGTCTGACGCAGTGGCCATTTTGTCTTGGTTGCACCTCTGTCATGAGTAGACCCACGAAAATAAAATCTCAAATAGCAATGCTGCGAACGTCCATTTTGATTTGAAACTGTCTTGTTTGGATGCCCTTCTAAGACCAGCTCAACTTCTCTTTTGTCTCGTTTTTACCAAATTTGAGCTAGACTACACAGACCAGCAACGCTGAATTGCGAAAAACTCGACTTTTTATGTGTTGCTGTAGCATGGCCGCAGAGTTTTTCATTCGTGTATCTTCCAGTTCGAGGACTCGGCAAGACTCTTGGTTTCCAGCCCAAGATGCACCGCCTGCGTGTTTTGCACACCTTCCTCTGGTATGTCATCTACGACCACCCAATGGGGCCAAGACCCCCGTGGCTAGCGACCCCTCAGGACGCTCCTGAGGTTGTCCAAGAGCCACCGGAAAGAATCGACGACGACAACCTCACCCTGAAGGATTTGGATGCGGCATTGTCCGGGGAAGAGGATGAAGCCGTGATGGAAATTTCCAGTCACTCAAACTGTGAAATAAAAGGTAAGAACACGCAATATCATTTTTGGACTTTTTTTTTTTTTTAAATCACTATTCTGCCTGTGTTCAGTTTACTGCGAGGAGGATTCATGGAAGAGGTTCGTCCCGCCCGTTCGCAGGCACTGCGATCGAGGCATCGGCTGGGCGATCGTGGGCGACCTACTCCTGTGCCTGCCACTCTCCTTATTCGTCCAACTCGTACAGATCAACTATCAGGTGAGAGCGGTGTCTTACATTGCCGAGCAACCGCACTTCAAGAGTCTTAAAGATATTAACCGAAAACACAAAAATAGATTTTTATTGGACAAAAAAAAAAAGACAATATTAGCTTTAAAAAAAATATACAAATAAAAAATCATATATATCGAGAGATGTTACAATATATTATGAAAAACTATTTCTATTTGGTTGGAAATATTTGACCAGAAATGACAAAATATGCACTAGTATGAGAAGAAACGTATTACTACAATGTTACAATTCATTTTAAAATATCTGATGAAAAACACAAAAATGGCAACAAATATACATTGAAATTTTTATAAGATTAAAATTATTATAAAAATGTAGAAATGTGTTATCTTAAAACACTGGACAAAATAAATAAGTCAAATAATTCTAATATGTATTGTATGTATGTATTATGGTAAACATTATTCACTTATACACAGATATGAGATGCAGAAAGAGGCAAATAGAGGGTTATTTACAATTTAAGACAAACACATTAGACTAATACTACAGAAGGAGGTGAGGTGGGTGGAGCACAAGGCTGCTCCACTTCCTGTCTCTGATCCATGTTCGGTGTGGTACCCATCTCCAGGTCGACGGCTTGGAGGAGTATTTGAACGACCCCGTGAAGCAACACCATCTGATTCGTCAGCTGCCCCTGGCAATACGGAAGCAGCTCTTTTTCCGACGGTTATTTGAACCCCATGCCGCTGTATCCTACCCATTGTCTGCGCGTCTAAACGTCTTCTCGCCTTACCAGGAAATACGTGTACCTCTTCTTCGAGAACCTCCAGCGCTTGGTCTGCATGGGCCTGCTGCAGCTCGGTCCTGTGGAGAAGCTGAAGGAGAAAGACATGGTGAGTGTAGGAAAAGTTTCTTCACAGTTTGGGTTCAGGGATCACATACGGGAGTGACATTTTTCCAAGGACTTAAACCCCTTGACAGGACACACCAGAAGTCACAAAAATAACTTGTACCCTAAAATGTCATCAGGCTTAAAAGGTTGCAACAATTGTTAATGATAATACATTAAAAAAAATTAATTTGGGAAAAAAAGTTGCAATGTTATTTAGTTTGTTTTGTAGTATTTTTTTTCCAAGAAAAAAAATCTTAAATGTATCTTGTCATCTAAAGTCCATTTTTTTTTTTTTAATGTTACACGATTAGTCATAGAGCAACGAGGGAAAAAGTTTCCGAAAACTGAGCCGTGACTGGTCGTTATCTGAGCCCCGAGCAACTGTGATGTTATTTTTAGTCTATAGCAATCGGCCGAATGGCCGCCACCTGAGATGGGTTAAAAACAGGTGGATTTTGCTGCATACTTTGGATTCCATTAACAATTTTAATCAGAATAGCATGTTAAGACGAATTGGGCCACATAGAACATTGAAATGTTTTTAAAAGGAAATGCTCATATTCTATTAAAAAACAAGGTTATTCTGAATAATTTTTTGACGTTATTTTCTAAATAAAAAGCCTTTTTTTAAATTTATTTAAAAGACCAATTTGTCGCGTTGAAAAGTCGTCATTTTTATTGCTGTCGCCCACAGCTGTTTTGTTACCTGAAGCGCCACGCCACCATTGTAGACACCGTCTACGCCGAACCGCACTACTGGCTGGTGGAGGAACCTCCCGACAAACCCTTTGACAGACGCCGCTACACCTTCAGCAGCACAGACGATGTCGACACGTACTGGTTCGACCTCATGTGTGTCTGCCTCAACACGCCTCTGGGTAAGCACATATGCACGCACGCATGAACCTCTCTGATGTTCTTTAAAAGGGATTTTTAATTATTATTTTTTTCTGCAGGGGTGATTCGCTCCAAGCGAGGCGCCTCTGAGAATGAGGTGACGCCGTCCTTTGTGAACGATCGAAGCCTATTTATGGCCATGGCTTCCTTGCTCAAGTAGGTGTAGGTGTAGGTGTAACATTCAATATATCGCCCTATAAAAACACATGAGAAAATGTGTAACTGGGTTTGACAAAAAAAAGCCCCATAAAACACGCACGTTGAAATAAACGCTCGTTTTTTTTTGTTTTTTTTTACACAATTAAAAAAAATCGTAGAAGAATGTAGGTAAAACATTTCAATAAAAAACACAAAACTATAAGGCATACAATTTTGTGATGTGACAAAAATAAAAAATATTAGATGGAAAAATATGACATTAAAAAAAACACAAAATAATTTGAATTTTTTAATTTTTCACAGAATCGGCAAAATACAAAAAAAAAAATTAAATTAAAAAAAAGATATTAGATGAAATATACACCGACTTGATAATTTGATAAAATATCAAATATGAGAAGCATAATCCCATCTCCAAATTGTGATTGTCTCTAATGTGTGCGCGTACCCACAGGGGCAGCAACATCGTGTGTGACGACGGCACCACGCCGGGCGACGGAAAAGGCGCCGGCGGTCTGTCCTCTGAGTTCTTCGCTCATATGAAGCGCAACTGGCTGTGGACTAATCACCTCCTGGCCTGCAAAAGGGTAAGAACGAACGCCTGGGCCGGTTTTGACTCTTTGCTCATGAGAATTTTGCTGTAAACGTCTGCGCGCGTGCTTCCGTTTGCGTTGCTTTGTAGCGGCCCACCGGGCCCAATGATACCAAAGTGCGACTGAAGAGCCTGCTGAGTAAAGAAGCGCTACGGGCTGCGCTGAAAGCCGGTCAGTTTGCTGTTGATCGATGTTTTAATGCTCTCACGTCCTCTTGAGGCGCCCTGTGTGCCTTCTTATCGCCGTTTTTTGTTGTTGTTGTTTTTTTCCCACAGCGGCTTCGTCACCTCGCTTCTTGACCGCCAAAAAGTCGGTGGTGACGAAAGAAACTGTGGAGGTGAGGAAATGTGTTTGTATTTTTAAATCTCGCTGTGTATGACCGTTGAAATCAAGTTCATCTTCATCTTGACCTTATCTTGAAATAGAACATATAACTGAATATAAATGAAAACAACAGCCAAATACACAAATATTGCAAGAAAAATGTTGGTGCTATCGCTCAATTTGAAAAATCCAGTCGACACTAGTCAACCCCTCAACCCAATTCAGTGTTGTGTCGTTTCAACAGAACATTGACACGGAAGGAGGACATTTTTCCAGGCTGTGGGAACTGCTCCTTTCCTGACTTGTGTCTTTGTGACCAGGTGGCTGTCGAGCCGTCGTCCAGGAACCAGGAGGTGGTTGGAGGGAAGCAACGGAAGCGGAAGAGACCCAAAAAGGAAGTTGTTGTAAAGGTTCCTCGCAAGAAGAAAAAAGGTTGGACTTACCCCTCCCCAAAAAATATTTGATAAAACACCTCAATGTGAGACAAAATGCTCCAAGAATTACAGTGGCGCTTGACATTTGAATTTAATTTGGCTTGTGATGACTCAAAACAACCATTGCTGCATGCAAAGTGCTCAAGACCGTCACAACAGTAATAAATATGTTGACCACCCCTCCCCATCCCCCCAAAAAGTCCTACAAAAATATAAAACTATTACAAACAAAATACTTGTTTGACTCTTGCGTTTGTCGCCCTCCTTGTAGAGCCCAAGAAGCGCACCCCGGCTCACGACGAGGCTGACCACGAAGCCCTGAAAAAGATGACCAGGCGGCGAGTCATCTGGACGGTGCAGGAGGACTCTCTGCTCATGCTGTGCGGTGTGGCCTCGCATCTGCTCAACAGCAAGGTACGCGTTTGGGCCACCTCCGCCGAGTACGTCCGCTCATTGTGTGTGTGTGTGTGTGTGTGTGTGTGTGTGTGTGTGTGTGTGTGTGTGTGTGTGTGTGTGTGTGTGTGTGTGTGTGTGTGTGTGTGTGTGTGTGTGTGTGCGTGCGTGCGCGCGTGCTCTGCGATGGCTTTCAGTTGCGGAGGACATTCGTGGCCTACTGCGTGGTGCGAGACCTCCTCCAGGCAGAGTTTCAGATCTCTGAGGACAAAACGTCACTGGCAGTGGGGCGGCGCACGCGCTACATCCTCAAGAATCCTCAAACCTTTCTCAACTACAGGTCGGTGCTCCCTCCATTGAGATGAGAATCTGCATCGTCTTCTCTTTCCAGGAAAGCGTCTAAGCATCTGTAGTCGGTCTTCTTTTTAGGAAGTGAGCTACTCCTTTGGTAGACAAGTCAAAGAAAGTTTTGGCTTGATGATTCGATGTTGTGAAATGTTGACGAAACAAAAATAGAAGAAAAATACACATCACATTAAGTAAAATATCCAGACAAAAATGTTTGATGAAAAATAGACCAATATCAAGCAAACACAATTTGACAAACATCAAAACATATATATGTAAAAATATGCAAATATTAGAGATTATCAGAAAAAAGAAAAATATAAAATAATACAAAATACCTGATGAAAATAATTGAATATTAGACAGAAATCACCCATAGGAAAAATATTCAACAAAAATATCGGGGGATATTACACCAAATAATTAGATGGAGCAGGCACAAAATTGTGAGACCAATAATATTCAACTTAGAAAAAATATAAAAATAATTACAGTATTAAATGACAAGTACAAGACAACAAAACAGACACAAATTAAAATACAAAGCTGTCAGAAGAAATACATAAGTAGACAAAAAATACACGAATGAAAGACAAAGTAATAATAATAATAATGATACATTTTATTTATAAGCACCTTTCAAGACACCCAAGGACACTTTACAACAACAAACAATAAAACACAGCACGGGTTGGGCAGCGGCAGCCAAACGCGCCAGCGTTCACTCAACCCGGAAGTCAGAAAGAAACCGCAAGGGAGGGATGTGCCCCCTTCGGACATTGGCTTGCAAGTTGAAATCAACAGAAGCCGCCGGTCAATGAAAGAAGACGCGGTAACTGGAAGGTCGTGGTCACAAATGGAGTGAGCGGCCGCGACTTCCGAAGATGTATTCTACAAAATACACATATCTGAGAATAATTACATGGAAATGTAAAATATATAGTGGATCAGAAATATTCTGTAAATAGAAAAATATTATAAGAAATATGCAAATATGAGCCAGAATACAAAAATGCCAATATTCAACATAATACAAAAGTATTGAACCAAAAAATGATAATTTTTGAGGCATATTTTATTTGACTGCTGTGTTTTCAAATAGCACAGCTGGTGTCCAACGTCGTAACCCAACTGTCTTATTTTGTTGGACAGGATCTGCCTAGCTGAAATCTATCAGGACAAAGATCTGCTGAAACAGCTCCAGGACAACAAGCCTGCTGATCCCAATAATGCAGATGTACAACCCCCACCCCCCTCTCCTTTTCACACTGTTCTGATTTCACACACTATTTCTAAAACGATCTAATCTTTAGGAGTGTGCCAGAGCATTCAGCGAGTATGTCAAGCTCCTCCGACAAAAGTTCAGCTCGGCCCTCAACGCCGATGATGTGAAATTGCCCGAAAACAAACATCAAGTCTTCTCGGAGTAAGTGAGGAAGCTGGCTGGCAATGATCGACAATGGCAGTAGCGTGTGATGGTCTTTGGTTTTGCACAGGTTAAAAGTGTTCACGATACACACCGACAGGCAGATTCCCTGCAGAGACACCCTGACTCGGTACCATATTTTTTTATTTTATTGTATTTTTTTTTTCCTGCGATTGGGAATGTAGCTTTTGACAGTGGTTGTCAATTGCAGCACAGCCGATGTCCATGCCTTAGTGTTGTTCAACCTCATCCAGAGTACGCTGGCCATGACCAACAATCAGATGAAGGAGTCCAGATCCTTTCAGGTTTGATCTTTTTCTCACAAAAAGTATGACTTCATTCTTGCCGGAGTACCATGTCTTCCTCACGAAATGCCGACTTTCTCCCTACCAGACGTTCCAGATCTACAGTCAGTACTCGCAGGAGCTTCTGTGCCGGGTGTTCATTGAGTGCCGTAAACGTCATCTGGTCAACCAGCGCCGCGTCTGTCGGACCGCGGGGCGCAAGAAGAACCGAGCGCTACCCATCCTGCCCATGTCCTTCCAACTCTCGCAGTCCTACTTCAGGTATGTGTACCTGACAACTCAAACTAAATTGGAAAAAAATATTTTTGTTGACTAAATAAAAACTAAAACGCTTAAAAATAAAAAAATAAAAAAAACACATAACAACAACAAACTAAATCTTACGCTAAAATGTCAGTCATTTGAGAATTTTTTTTTCTTGCTCTCGACTACCACTCTGTATATTTAAGAAAAACTAATACTAAAACAAATAAAAACCAAACTACTAAACCCATGTATTTAAAAAAAGTCAAAATACATTGCTGTAAGAACTAAATAAAACTATCAGAACTGAATTTAACCAACCATAATGTAAAAACTAAAACTATTAAACCACATGTCTGAACCTTTTCCCAACCCCGCCTCTACCTATCACAGAGAGAGAAAAGAAATTGCCCACTTTTGATACATCCTCGCAAGCCTAGCAATTTGCAGTTCCCCTTCAACCACCATTTTGTTTTGCTGCCTTTCACATTGCCTCTGTTATACCACTGATACTTCCTCCGATGCCGGGAAGTTTTCTGAGTCCTTTTTTTTTCTTCCCTTTTCCTCGCCGACAGGTTATTTTCATGGCGTTTTCCTCACACGCTTTGCACCGACTCATTCCGCTTCCTGAAGACTTTGCTAAACAACGGCAGAGGCGACAACAGGTCTTTCGTCTCATACCACCTGGAGACGGAAAACCGGACAGAAAGCGGCGAGGAAGCAGAAGACAGCCGAACCACCGATCTGGAACATTCGGGAATGATGCGCTTCCATCTGGACTCTGTCGGAGGAGCATGCTTGGTGGCGCTCACCCTGATGAGTTTAGGACTCCTGTCTGTACATATGTCCATCCCCAAGAAGATGGTTGTGGTGGACAGCAACCTGGTGGATAGTGACGTCAGAAGGTATGTCCTTCACGGTAACGGGCTAAAATTCACATCACCACATAACATCACCTCAGCACTTATTCTGGCGTTTCGCTACTCTACGTTTCACATTATCTTAGTGGTTAGCATAGCTTCTCCATTTCCTTTTCTCTTCTCTAGCTAGTACAGGATCAGCTACTCTTCGTCCGCCTCAGGTGGTAATGATACTTGCCAGAAGTGTAGCCAATTTCCCGCCATGGATGTTATGATTCGTGACTGAGAGAATTGTGTCTGCGACTTAGTTAGCCGCACTAGCTAGCCAGAGCAGAGCAAGTAACGTTAGCAACTAGCATTCCTCCCGGAAATTACCATGTAGCCTGGAAAGCAAGGAGGATGGTGATACGTGCTTGTAGACATTTTTTACCCCGAGCCAGATATGATGACATCTTCAACAAGCATTATCGGAATTGGTCAGTAGAGTCTTGATCTATACTTATTTGTAGATATATATACGTCCGAAAATTTGTGGGACGACTTCAACCCACGCATTCTGTGTTCACACAGGTCACGAAGACAGGTCAACAGAGTAAAAATTCTGTCAAAGAGACTGACAATTTGAAAGAGGCAATACAGTCGATGTCACGCCTCTGATTCGAACTCATAAGCTTAGAACTTTGCAGCGTGACTTCAAATTTTTTATACCACAGGAAAAAGCTGTTAGAAAACCTTTGTGAATATCTCAGAGGCAGGTAGTGAGCTAACTGGCTAACAAGCCAGTTAGCTATTTTTAACCACTTTTATTCATATATTGTATGAATATGAGTATAGAAGAGTGCAAAGCCTCGGTAGTTTGGGGCGATGAGCGCTGGGGGCTAGCTATTGGGTTATCTAGCAAGCTAGTTCGCTAATTACTTTATTTTTTACTCATTTATGAATATAATTGGGGCTCCAGCATGGTGTCATTGGAGGAAGAGGACGATGAGGATGACGTCGCCAGCGATGAGTGCCTGAGCAAAAAAAAGTTGCGAGTCAATGCTCACCAGGCTTCGCACACCAAGTACCTGTTAATGAAAGGCTATTGCATTCCTGGCATTGGTACGTTCACGTTTGATATTCCGGAGTTTCTAAAGAATTGGTGATGGCATGAATGTTGAATGCGGTTTGCAGTTAAACGCCGGAATATGAACACCAGCGACAACATTGTGGTGGAGTCGTGCGTGCTCAGGATGCAGATGAGACAAACCCCGGCATGCGCCCTGTTGAGTGATGACGGCGTCTCTCTGGACTTCTCAAAATCCGGCCCGTCCCTGCTGCCGTCCGTCCTCACCCGCTCCATCCAGAAAGTTGGGCGCACTCCGGCCCTGTGCTCCAGCTACTCCCCTGAGGACGTGCAGGTGAGCGCCCAGCTGAGGAAGCACCTGGACACAGCAGGCGAAAAGGGGGTAGACCAGGTGGACCTGTTCCGGGAGCTCGCTCATCTCTGTCGGCCGCAATCCGGATGCAGCAGGAGCCTCGAGCAGTACCTGGAGGTAAGTCCCCTTTCACACCGGACCCTGTGAGAATGCCAGTGTTTACTCGCACTGTAAAAGGCACTGTTGTACCAGGGAAATAATGTATCAACGCCCTATTTTGCGTCAAAGGAGGACTACATAGCCACTGTCGAGCCTTGGTTGCATCTTGTAGCTGCAAAATTCTGTGGCTTGAACGGGGACCATTTTTAAATGGGGCGTGGCTCCGCGGGACCTTAACGCACGACACGTACTCAGTTCAGCTGCACCCTTCAGCCAAAGACAGCGCGCCAGTCAAGGAGTGACGGACGCTCAGCGGCGCTTTGTCACACTCCACTGCGACCTTTGATTGCATGTCTCTACCTTTCACACGGAACAGCAGCTTTAATAGGCAGTGTGAAAGGGGAAACTTTAACTTCACGTTTTCTGTTTTTACCATTCATGCGTTCCGTCAAAGCTTGCTTCACCACCTTTCCCCGCCATCTCCCATGTGTTTCTGCTCTTGTCCTCTGCAGGATTTACAGAAGGATGGTCAGGTCCTCAAGGTTGGCGGCTACGGCGTTCGCTGGGTGCTCATCCAACATGCCGATCCCTGGATCCTCACCGTCAACCCCAGGAATGGGTCCCAGCTGCAGGCCGCCACAGGTGAAGATCCCTCCCAACACAACATTCCCTTCCTGTACAAGAGGCGACGGGTTGAAGGACGGCGGGATGACAAGAACAAAGAGGAGCCTCCGGCAAAGAAAATGGCAAGCGAAGAGAGACTCAAGGAAGAGGAGGACAAGGAGGCAGTATGGACGATCCCACCAAAAGCCGAGGACCCTGCGGTAAAGGTTTCGATGGGACGGGAGTGCGCGGAAATGCAGGATGAGTGCCATCCCGCTGAGGACAAAATGGAGGACGAGGAGGAAGACGGAGGAGCCTCCTTGGCGCAAGAGGCTGACATTCATGAGTAAGTTTCACGCAGGGATTTGCCATCTGAGGTATTAAGTTGACGTGGATTTTTATACAGCGGTGTGTCGTTATCTTCCCTTATGTTTGGTGTCAGTGGTGTCTTTACAAAATGGCAACAACAAAAAAACTTTTTTTTTTACCATTATGTTGAGTTTATTAACATAACATTACTGCATTTGTTTTTAGAATTTTTTTAAATCAAGAATTAAATTATATTTTTATCATAAAAATTCACTACTTTTTGAAAGTTTTTTATATATATATATAAAATGTGTGTGTGTGTGTATGTGGTGGTTATCAAAAATAGCCTTTTTTTTTTTTTAAATGGTGAAATGATCATGAATGCTGTCGCTTCCGTTTTACAATCTTCCCTTCGCCGCCGCCTGTTGAGAGTGGGTTATTTGCTTAATTTCATAAAAAAAAATGTTTGCCTTAGCGTGCCGCACGAAAGGGTCTTTTATGTTTCCATGACCGCTCCGCAGGGACAGCGTGAGCTTCGTGGTCCGTCCGTGGCGTCTCGTGGACGGGACTCTCAACCGTCAGGTGTGCAAAGGCATGCTGGAGGCCGTCCTCCACCACATCATGTCCCGTCCGGGCATCCCTCACCAAAAGCTGCTGTCATACTACGAGGGTGTGCTGCAGCCCGTCGTCCTTCTGGAGCTGCTCGAGGTGAAAATATACCCCCCCACCCCGCGCACACACCGCCTTCTCTTCCTCATTCCTCATCCCTTTTCTCCCGCTTCATGCAGTCGCTTGTAGAACTGGGCTGCGTGGTCAAGAAAACACTGTTCAAAAGACCCAAGCCCACCCTGTTCGGGCCCCCGATGCCGACGACGGAGGAGCAGCAAGAATCTGTTTTTTACGAGCCCACGGTCAGCTGCTGCCTCAGACTCGCTCGGGTGCTGCCCAATGAACGCCACTGGAACTACTGTGGAAAGTAACTTTTAAAAATTTATTCTAATTAATCCAAATGGAATAAAGGCTTCAACCTCAAAATATATATATATAATAACCATGGAGCAGCTTTTTAGCAATGTTCAGTTTTATTCACACAAATCACATTCTCCACGATGCATGTGAAGCTGATGTACAGTAGGACTGTGATTGAAAAAAAATCTTTTCAACTTAATAAATCACAAAAATAAATTACAAACTTGCCTACTTGTTATGAACTAGCTGTTTTTTTTTTAACTCATTCACTGCCATGGATGTTTATTTTTGTCCACCCGGAATCCCAACTGCAAACCGCTATCGAGACCAACAGGTGCCGGTTGTGTGTGTCAATTTGTTTTCCATCAAAGGCACGTTCTCTGTCGTTTTTTTTTGGGAGGGGGGGCAGGGTTGAGAGTGACAAACGCAAAATCGATTTGCACCAGTCAGGTTTGCTTGACACAAAAACCTTGGTGGCAAAAGAAGAATCTATGCTTTCTTTTTGGTAGGTTTGGTGCTTTCACTGTCACAATATTCAGTGGGCCTTGAACGAGTATGAGTACCGATACTCCGGGTCGATACCGGCCGTATTTTAAGGTAACGGATACTCTCGGAGGATGCCAATACCAGCCCCCAGTACTGAGGGCAAAAGCAAAAAAATCTGACGCTAGTTGGCACTAATAATGACATTTTGTATATCCAAAGTACAAGCGGTATCGGTCCTCTGTATCGGTGAGTAATGAAAGAATTAACCAAAAAAGGTAGTATTGAACATCCCGAAAGATCAATCAAAATAACTTTAACTTCCTTTGATGAGCCAGGTTATGTAATTGAGAGAAATTTGTGGTTCCGTGGCTGGAAAGTGGACAGTCGGGAGCCCGGAATCGAAACGGCCACTGGACGGCGCGGGTCCACCAACCGAGCCGCTGTACCTGCGAAGTGTTCTTAAACTTCTGTCGACGTGGGAAACTGTGTTTTGAAAACAGCTGGCAGCGAATACGTTCATCAGAACGTGACGTCAGCATCATTTGCTGGAAGCGTTGGCCTCACTCATCGACGGCTTCCTCTCGGAAAGCACCAGCTCCTTGACTTGTGGGGTCAAAACGTGAAACTGGGCCAGGACACTTGACGCCTCGTCGTCCTGCCGCTCGTTGTCCTGCATCCGACCTTGACTCTGGCTCATCAGTTGCTTCACTACCAGGCTCTGATATGAGGTCAGCAGCTGATGCTTCTCCGTGGGGATGCGGCCCGTGAGGGTTCCGAGGATGTGAGGGACGCAGCGTCCCGGAGCGTGCAGGATGCAGTGGGTGCTGTCCTGAAACAGCAGCATGCTGGTGAGGTGAAGGACCAGAGCGGGGTCCTCGGTGTCTTTCAGCTGCTCGGTCAGAGTCTGGCGGTGGCGCAAGAAAGCCTGCCGCTCTTTTTTCTTGTCGGCCCTCTTCAGCATGAAGCCGCAGGCCTCGGCGGCCGTCTCGAGGTTTTCCAAAAACTCTTCGATTGTTTTACCGTTCAGAGAGTTGTGCAGCTTGATCAGGGGCGCTTTGGTGTCGTCCGACACTTTGGCCAAAATCTTCAACCGTAGCTCGCTGGTGATCGCGGCGGGGTTCTCCACGGACATCATCAGCTCGCCGGCGAGGAAGTTGACCAGGACGTTGGCGACGTCGGTGCCGACGCTTTTGAGGACGTGCTTGGTGATGATGACCTGGGTTTCGTCGGAGAACCATTTGGTGCCTTTCTCAAACAGCCTGATGTTGTTGTACAGGTTGGTGAGCTCCTCCTGGAGATCCTTGACAGACTTTTTGTTGGCACCTGACACCGGGCAGGTGCTGGACATGATCAAACTCCGCAGGACTTCCTGGTAGGTTTTGCTCAAGGGCCTCACCAGATGTTCCGCAAGCTCGGAAAGGACTTCGTGTGGACAGTCACTCACTCGGTCCTCCAGAACAGCTTCTATTTCTTCCTGTGTCATGAAGGGGGCTTCCTCCTTTTTAGACCGAGGTCTGGTTTCTTCGTCATCATCGTCTTTCTTCCCTTTCTTCTTGGTTTTACGAATTCGGATCTCTCGAGCGTTGCCCCCTCCTCCGGCTTTCACTGTGCCGCTGCCCTCTACGCCTTTTTTCTTGCGCTCTCCGTCCCTCTTGTCCTTTTTTGACGGTCCGAAGTTTTCCGCAAGCATGTGCGCTTGCTTCATATCCTCTTCGGTGATCAGCAGGACGGGATTGCTCTTGAACTCCTTCTGAGCTTTCTGTTGTATGGTATCATCGAACAGAGCGAGGCACTCGCTGATCCACTTTTCACTGACGACAACCGTGGCTCCGAGGAGCCTGGCGGCCGAGTGCACGTTCGTATTCCTCATGGCCTGGTTGATCAACGTCGCCATGTCCTCCTCTGATAGGCAGCTTGGCAAAATGGCTTCTATGTCCGTCCATGTGGCGGAGCTGACGGCTTCCTCCACGGATGCCTCGACCTGGTCGACCAATGCCTGGCTCACGCAAGCGTCGCTGAGGAAAAGAAGCTTCTGGCACTTGAAACGCTTCTTAATGTGGCTGACGGGCTCGGGGATCCCCAGCCGGGTCAACGAATCAAACTCGAGATAGCCATTCTGTTGGAGGAAAGAATCCACCCAACTATTCTGCGTTTTGGAGTAAATGTTGGGGATGTAAACAGCAGTGTCCTGTCGCCCACCAACAATGGTTCCTTTCAGGCGTCCGGTATTCACCAGCTCCCCCAGAACAGAATACAGGAGATGCTCCTGAAGCCCGAAAGCGCTAATCATTCCGATGACAGGCGTGGGCCGAGTAATTGCGCTGAATAGTCCTCGGATCTTGGCTGTGTGGCGGGCGACAAAGGCTGGAGTAAAGATGACTCCCCGACTGGACCGATCCAGTTCTCCCTGTATCAACTTCCCGAGACGCTTGGCGAGCTCGTCATTTAGAAAATCACCCGGTAGATCGTAGCTCTTACAAAGTTCTGAAATGTTGATCAAACCAGCTTCCTGTAGTCTGTCGTTGACTTCCTCAGCCAAACGGTTCAGGTAGGTGTCATCAATAAGCTGTCCGAGCACCAGCTGGACACTTCTGTCAGACTTTGCAATGTTACTTGCTCTCGATTCAACGTCGCCCCAATTGACGTTGATAATCTGCTGGAGCTCCAAAATATTTACCCGCCCTCCATGACGATAAAGTTCATCGCGGATTTCTCTGGTGATCTGTGCGGGAGTGACATACTCCTTTCCGTCGATCGTGTGCACCACGTCCACCTTCTTGTCTTGGATCAGTCTCGCAATGATTTCAATGCAGTCCCTCTCTGATAACCTTTGCGCAGTGTCGGCAAACTGTGCCCTCTGGAAATCGGCTGCAAGACGTCGAATTTCTTCCCACTCACTTGCCATGATTACCGTTCAGGTCGTGAAACGTTGGCTCCGGTTCACTAGTGAACGAGGAAAGGGAGAGAAGAGTTAACGACACGTCAACATGGCGCACAAAGAAGCAATGCGTTCAGATTCAAGGAGAGAGATGCTACCCTGTCACTTTTCGGCTCCTTGTGGTCGCGTGAAAAAGATGGCTGAGAAAGAAACACACATGGAAATACTAAGCATCTGCTGGTGTCACGAGTGGGTTGAAAAGGAAAAGAAAGAGGCGCTCACGCTAAAGCGTCCGTCAGTCGTCCCCCCCCAAATGTGCGTATGCAGTACACAGTACAGAGGCGCTGCTAAACACGTCTCCTTTAAGCGACACATTAAAAGAACTACATTACCCACTCATTGGACGTCCTTGAATTCACCCAAATTCGAGATACAGAAGTTTAAATCAAATTTTAACTTGGTAAAATTAATGGTTTGTCAAAATCACCTTGTAAATGATTCAACCTGAAGTTACACGTCGGAATTTTTTTATCCCGGTAATTTCTCCAAATCAAAATTGCCTTAATCTCAAGCAAAAAAAAGTCAATTCAATATGTAACTACGTCTAGTCAGAAAGACGTTGATGAATGTTAATTATTGGTAGTCAAACTGAACATTTTAAAGTTCCAACCACTTGCTGTTATTGGACTTTTTAAGCAAGCTTTATTTAAACATTGTGTACATAACAAACGAATAAGAATATAATCCTAGACAAGCAAACATCAGGCTACTTAGATACACAATAAAACATAAATAAATAAAATACATTTAAAAAATTAAGATAAAAGAAATCAAGAAAAATATATAATAAGCAAAGTAGTACTAATTCACATTTACAAAAATTGATTTCGGTGAGTTCCACTGATTGATGCTCATTTCTTTTGATAGGTTTGGTGCTTTCATTTAGTTTTTGAAGCAGTTCATCAATCAAATTATTCCACCAGGGATGGAGCTTTTTAGAGAGAGAATTTTAAAATGTAATAGCGAATGTCTTTTCAGTGACAAAATCAGAATAACATGAGGTGACGGTTCCCGATAACTAAATCCGTCCCGAAAAAAAAAATGTCAGTGACGTCATGGTGATTGTTGGCCCAAACCGGAAGTGAAAGGCGTGTATTATGTCGTCGTTATGTGTTTGTTACTCTTTACACGACCGTTCTTTCCGTTCGACGCCATTTTGATGAAACAGCGACGAGAGGGGACATGTTGTGGCATCACCCCCGTGATTTTTGTGTGGAGTCATAATTGTTTTTCTTCTTTTTATATCTTTTTGTTTCCGCGCCCGGGAGGCGAAGGAGCACAACCCGATGGACCAGAAGAGGAACAAGACACCGTTTCGGGGGTAGCGGAGCCTTATCGTTAGCCATAGCTTGCTAGCTCGGGCCACTCGTTTTGTCTGCGTTTGTTCATAAATTGTTGTCGTCTCGGCGAAGGGCTTTGTTAGCCACTTAAATCCCTTCCGTGGACTCGTTTTGTGGACTGTATTCTGAAGAACTGAAGGTGGGGAGGCTCCCCCCTCGGCCCCAAATCAAACACTGCCTGGACTGCGGTTAGCAACATTAGCTGCTAACCCAAGCGGCCTTCCCTTGCGTTCCTCCTCTGCCTCCATATGACTGCTGGTGGCGGACGTGGGCGTTAGAACACCGTTCTGCCGGTAGAAGCGAGCTCGGACTACCTTGGGGGACCCCTTGGTTGGATTTTCGGGGCGTTGTTTGTGTGTGTCGCTTTGGTTTTGGACTCGAGAGGACTTTACAAAAAGGCACATGGCGCCGTCGATTGGCGCGCCGGCCTCTCATCTCTTGCGTTGGGATTAAACGAGGACTCTGCGTCATTGATCCGCCCTCCATTTTCCCCCTTTTTCTTTTTTTTTTTTTTTTTTTTTTTCCGTTTGTTTGGTTGTCCAACGCCTGTCTCTACTCCACCCCCACCCCGTCCCTAAACCTCTTTCTCTCCCCCCAACCCTTGTTGTTATAAAAGAAAAGTGTGGCAAAAATGTCGTGTGTTCACTACAAGTTCTCTTCCAAACTGGACTACAACACGGTCACGTTCGATGGTCTGCACATCACCCTCAGTGAGCTCAAGCGGCAGATCATGTCCAGGGAGCGCCTCAAGGCCACAGACTGCGACCTGCAGATCACCAACGCACAGACGCGAGAAGGTGAGCATCGACTCGCTGTACAAGTTGCACATGCTGTGTTTTATTGAATTGGTTGTGTTTACTACTAATGGAAAGTAACAAGTCTTTGTAATGTATTTAATGAGTAACGAGCCTCCAGACGAATGAATGTGATCTCTGCCAAGGTTGTGCTGATAACAAAAATACCAAAATGGCCATCTTGCTGATTTGATGTTTGGGTATAGATCCTTGAGACATTATCGTGTGTCCTGTTAGGATTGACAATCCCACCCGAAAATGGTAGGCATATGCTAGACCTGAAATTCACCCCCAAAATGGCTGCCCTGAACACCAATGGCCAAAGTAGTGTTCGATTACCGTCATGCATTGATAACTAATGACCTGTACTTTTACATTGGTTTAATTTTAATCAAACACATTTTCAGAAATCAGATTTCCAACAGTTAATATTATCGGACTTTTGTCATCAAGTCAAGTACAACTTTATTGTCAAATGTGCTGCATATGCATACAGCACAGATGAAATTTCTTCCCTCTCACAACAAGAGGAGCCACTGCGGGAGCCCGCGCCGCCATCAAAAGAAAAGTTCACATAAAATGACAAAATAATACAAGACAACACATTAGACACAGACAATAATGCAATCTTAACCACTTTCCTGCATACACTTTGTTGTCTGAAGCAGTTATAGATGAAAGAGGAGCGAGTCAAAGTGTCCTTTTCACCAGTGGATCAAAGACGTCATGCTGAAATGTGTGCACGTCTGCTACAAGCTAAGCTTGGAAGCAACAAGATGCTATAGCATCCATTAATGAAAAAGAGGTTGGCTCTTTTCTCCTGTCCCATGTAAATCCGCTTCAATTCCAAACCGTGACTCCCAGTTCAACATACGCATCGGGGCTCTGCGCTGACGCTCCTTTCTTCTTGTCGTTGGCTCCTCAAGCCATGCATCCATCTGGCCGTAGACTGTCCATCAGCACCGACCTTTCCGCTGAACAAAGCGGGGCTGTGAAAATGCTGCCTACTTCGGGCGCGAGACACAAGCGCCCCGGGGCTGTCCAGCAGCGACAGTCAAATGACGCCGACATTCCTCCCAATCAAAATCAGTGCTGGTACACGCGTGCCGCCGAGAAGGCGCGGTTCCACCAAGCACAGATTATTATTCTTTGACGAATGTCGGGGCCAAAAATGCTGAAAACAGTCCCCATCAGGTCCACACGATGTAACAACACCATGTGACAAAACAAGACAAAAACAACAAAAAATGCAAGGCTCTTGAAGAGCACTTGCCGACCACTACCTACTCGGTCGCCATCTTGGGGGGGGGGGGGTCATGATCACTGAATGCACAAAAACTATCTTTATGTTGAGCCAAAATGAGACATTTGCAAAGATCTAATTTTGGAAAACGTTGGTTAGCGTTTTTGCCTTCTTTCTGACATGTTACAGACCAAACCAGAATATGACGAATAATCACGTTGTGCATTTTATGCACTGTCAAAATGTCCCATTTTTGAAGAAAGCGGTGTATTAAATCTAAAAATGTTGATTTTTATCCCAATTCCCGGGTTGGAGACCAGAAAAGATAAACTGAGCCCTGGACACTTGTTGCACATCGACTTAAAATTGGGTAAACGCACCTACCCTGACAAGAGCAACTAACCATTTCAGGGACCCGGGTTTGAATTTCAACATTTCGGGTTGAAGCAACTAATTTGGGGCTGATTACAGAGCCAGGTTTTTTATTCAATCCTGAATACGCCAGCATCACATTGAGATGAAATTGGCCCTACACTACACTAACAGGACACAAGTCTCTCGGGCCCACGCCGAAAACAAAAAAGGTCACTATACATCTACTTAAAAATAATTGAATATACATATACTGTGTGTGTGTGTGTGTGTGTGTATGTGTGTGTATATATATATATATATATATATAAACATACACACACTGTATGAAATAACTTGCACAATTAAATTAAGTAAAATTTTCGCACCATTTTCAGTGTGAAATTGTTGCGATACATGTCAATTTATATTTTAAAGTTATTCCCCCAAAATACACTTTTTTTTTAACAGTACAAGCCTAAAATTCAGCAAGAAATTGCCCATCTTGGTGTGAAGCCACTACGTGCTTTCATAAGTGGTCTTTTTCTATTTTTTGTCACATTTTCATCATTTCATGGTTTGCCTTTTTTTTTTTTTTTAAATATATAGAATACACGGATGATGAAGCCCACATCCCCAAGCATTCGTCCGTGATCGTCCGCAGAACACCGATTGGAGGTGTCAAACCTGCTGGCAGGACGTTCATTGTGTATGTCCTTTTTTTTTTCCGTTTTCCTTATCCTAATGTGATGGTGATGATGAAGGCTGCGGTTACTTACGGATGCCTTCTCATCTGTTGTCTCCGCAGAGATCGTTCTGACACGTCTGTGGCGGGATCGTCGAGACCCGTATGTAACCAAACCAACCCAAAAAACCCAAAACAAAACAAAGCAAACACACCCCAAAAGCAACACTCACTGCTCCTCTCACTTCTCTCCCCCCACCTCCCTTCCTGACGACATGCTGTCAATTGCGTCGTGCGCGTTTTCTGTTGACACCTCTTGATGTGATTGGGTGGGCGTCGTACATCCGAAGGGCTTTTAATTGTTGTTGACAACAAATCAAGAAGCTATTTTCTAATGTTGGACTGTGTTTGCTAGCTTCCAAGTGCGTATGCACTATCGTGACTTGTGTTTCATTACTGAAATGGCTTCTGTAGCCCGATTTTCATTTGGGCAAATATTTGTGTCACATAATCGTAATAATAATAATGTCATGATAATGACAATGTCACTGTATTTTCTGTGAAAATAACATGTGGTTTATCAGAAACCAATGACGGGGGTGGAGGAAGCGTGGAAGGGATTGAATGTAATTTATGACTGAGTGAATGAGGGGCAGGGATGATGGGGAATCGCAAGTGATTTCTTTGCTCTTTTGATTTAATATTTTGCAGCTTGGCAAAGTTTACCCTGCCGCACTTTGAGTACACTCTTCATGTCAGTCGCATTTGTCAGCTGTTTGCTCCTGTACAAGATGTCTTGTTTTATGGACTGCACATAACCCACGCTCTCTTTCAAAAGGCTCGCCTCTCTGATTTTCCTCATAGAAAAGACACACAGACTAGTGTAGGGAGCTAACACCTAATCTTTCTTTTCCCAGCTGCGTTTTAATATGAGTGCCACGTCATTGCTGGTGTAGTTGTCCTGTAAGCTGCAGAAGCCTGTCAATAAAGGTTTTCAAGTGGGTTCTGCATGTCAGAGCCGCTTTTGCACCACATTCCCTGTGTGTTCCCTCCGCCAATGCCCAGTTTACATCCCAACATGCAGGCTACTTTTTTGGTTGTTGTTTTAAAGTCATGTTAAAATGCCTCCTTTTGCGCATGAAAATTGTCCTTTTTTTTTTTTTTTTTTTTTTAAAGTAATAGTAGTAGTTGACCTTGGCCTGGATGGTGTTGTGCAGTCTAAATGTGGGCATACACTGCACGTTTTTTTTTCCCCTCCCCGAAGATTGTCACCACACACTGAAAGGAAAGTCAAAGCTATCGATGGCTTTTAAACTGTTGCTGGCTGTCGAAACAGATCAAGACGATGACATTGATGCCTCGTGTTGGTTCCGAACGCTAATGCTCAAAACGAGCGCAATTTGCAGGTCTTTCGCAGCAGACACAAATTTGTATTCTATTCTTTGTTTTGTCATGTGACCAATTGCTCCTCGCCAGACCAGAATGAGTTCGGTCCGCGCAGTGTATTCCCCGAAAGTTTTTAACATTAAAAAAAAAAAATTGTCGGCTTAATGCTGCAAAGTCTTCAGTAAGATTTCTATCAATTTTTAAACATTTATTTTTTAACGTTCATCTTGGTCCAATTTAATGATTCACACTTGGGAATTTTTTTTTCTTTCATCGCTTCAGGAATGCGTTTTGAGAATAACTGAGGGAATGTCCACACTCCAGGGGGAATCTGAAAGAGTCATGTAACACCTTGAATGTTTTGTATTCTGATTCTCCCGCAGACCGACTCCTCACCGTCTATGTCTCTCGCCCAGCTCACCAAGGTAGCGTTTACCTCGACCGCTTTTTAAAAGTACTGCGCAGGTTTTAATTTTGGACCACTGAAAAACCTGCAGCCCCCTACCCTACTCCCCCCCAACCCTTTGTTTTGATCTTGAATCTTCTTTTTGTTGTTTTTTTTTTTTTTGTTTGTTTGTTTTTTGCCCCCCCTCACCCCCTCTTGTAGACCGCTAACCTGGTTGACGCAAATGCATCCGAGGAGGACAAGATTAAAGCCATGATGACTCAGTCCAACCACGAATACGACCCTATTCAGTTAGTGTTCATTCACTCACACAGTTGTTGGAATGTTTTGCCCACTTCACGCGCTCACATTGATGCCGGTACCGTTGTTGGATTAAAAGTGACGCGAGGGATATTGTTTTTGTTTTTTTTTTCCTGTAGTTACTCCAAGAAGGCAGTCGGACCACCACCGGCTCACTACCTTTGTTTCCGTTGTGGAAAGACCGGTCACTATATTCGGCAGTGCCCCATGCTACTGGTAATGATAGGATTGGTTTAGAACCAAGTTTTTTGTTTGTGTGAGATTATTTGCGGGTAATAATTGTATTTTCTGATCAAATCTCAGGTTCAGGATAAGAGCATGGAGGGTCCGAAGCAGGTCAGAACCAGCAAGGGGATTCCTCAAAGTTTCATGGTGAAAGCTGAACCCGGCACCAAAGGAGCCATGTTGACCAGCACCGGCGAATACGCCATACCGGCCATCGACGCGTACGTTCCAAGTCTTGATCTTGACTCATTTGGTGGATTATTTGGCCCTTGGTGGAGGGGGGGGTGTTAAAAAAAATGTGTATTTTAATGCAGGGAAGCGTACGCGCAGGGCAAGAAGGAGCGGCCGCCGTTCGTTCCGCACGACCAGTCGTCCTCCGAGGACGATTCCGATCCCATCCCGGACGAGCTGCTGTGTCCCATCTGCAATGATCTGATGACGGACGCCGTGGTCATTCCTTGCTGCGGGAACAGCTACTGTGACGAATGTGAGTGTCGAAAGAGTGAACTAAAAATATCCCTGGGCGGAATGGAGAATTCTGCCAATGGTCAATTGACTTGAAAACCTGGCAGAGAAAAACATAGCTTGATGCCTCTTATATCATAGTGACCCCCATAAGTAGTTAAGAAAATTAAACATTTAAAGTTTAGCCTCGTCTGTCAATCTTGCGATTCAAATTTTGTAGAAATTAAGGACACACGGAAGTGATCCTAAACACTTAAATGGCTGCTTCGAACCAAAATCAGGATTTTCAGTTTTGAATGCGTGTCACGAGACCTATTGCCTGTGTCCTATGACAAAAGACAAGTCCACTTAATGTTTGTTGCTTGTATGAAACGGGTGTCGGGAGCAAACTTGTTGTCTCCCAAAATTAGGGCCTGGCCAATTGAATACCTCGATGATGGCCCTTCAAACCTCGGCCGAAATCCTCAGCCAAATGGCCGATGTTTGCTGATTGTTTTTAGTTATATGTACTCAATGACTGCAGTTGTATACAAGTAACACTGGTCTCATGATTTCCTGTACATGTTCATCATCGGGGGACGCACCAAATAGTCTCAACCCCCCCATATGGTTTAGAACAGAGAAAATTGGTTGTTTTTAGGTGTATTTGTCCTTTCAAGACTCATCTAACTTTGGCCTGCAATTTGTTTTCAAGCGGTCCGGTTGGGGCAATAGGATGTGAAAACGTTTTTTTTCTTCTTCTTTTTTCAGGTATCCGGACGACCTTGTTGGACTCTGAGGAGCACGTTTGCTTCACGTGCAAACAGTCGGATGTGTCGCCTGACCACCTCATCGCCAACAAGTTCCTTCGACAGGTAACCTTTGCCGAACGCTTTGTTTGACGCCCCTTTGTGCTTCTACGGGTGGCTTAAATTGTCCCGCTTTTTGCCGCGCAGGCCGTGAACAACTTCAAGAATGAAACGGGCTACACCAAACGCGGGCGCAAACAAATCCAGCCTTCGGCCCCCCCTCCTCCGCGGCCTCACCTCCTGAACAGGCCTCTCCTATCCAGACAGCAGGACCCTCTGATAGCCAACATCTCCCAGCCGCCGCCTCTGTCTGTTCCTCACGCTCCCGCAACCGCGAGCGTGACAGCCCCTCAGGCTCAGACCCCGCCCGCAGCACCTCCCGCCCCCAACACCCCCACCCCTACGCCTTCGCCGCCTCCTCAAGCTGACGTCACTGAGGAAAGAAAGAAAGAAGCCTCGCCAGTTCCGCTGCCCGTCGTGGACCACGGTTCTCCTCGGGTCTCTGGTGGTCAGGACGAGCCGCCCCCGCCGGGGTAAGTTCGACAGACTCTGCGGCACTGAAAACGTAAACTAAACGTAATTTTATCTCGGCTTTTTATCTGATAGGGAGACTGAGCCGCTGCCGCCCATTGTGAAGCCAGGCCTGCCCAAAAACCCAGAGAGCAGATCACATGTGAGTCTGTCTGGACCCGCAAGGAAATCTCATTTCCCCAGCGTCATATTTAGGCTGGTCATATTTAGGCTGGTCGATGAAGAGAAGTAATCTCTCTCTTTTAAAAAAAAAAAAAAATCAGTTTATACTCCTCCATCTGTCAAGTGTGTGTGTGCTTCAAATTTGGCAGCATTTGAAGGGAGGAATCCCATAGTGCTCGAGGAATTGCTTGCAGCAATTTTGTCGATATTGTAAATTGGTTCTTTTTTATTATGTAGTTCTTTATCCCCCCACACACACACCTCCAAAATGTCCATTGTACTCGAGTATTTGCTTCATATAATTTAACATCATTGATTCAAACTGGCATCTGGCGTAAACAATTTTCCAATGGCCCTTTAAAAATTTTTGTGGTTGTCGTACTCTGGGAACTTGGTGGGCGGAAGCTTCGTTTGCAGCAGCGCAGTTTTCAAACGGGCTCTTAAAAATCGTGAGGGTTCCTAGTACATCGTTTTAAAGTAAAGGAGTCATTGAAACACCGCAGGGCAAGTCCAGTAGCAGCCACCCCCCCCCACACACACACACACACACACACACCCCTAAATGATGAGGTTGGCTTTTATCTCAAAGTAACCATGTTTGTGTTTCTGTAGGCCTACAATTTGCCCCTCCTTGGCACGGCTCCACCCTCGAGGCTGCCCTCTCACCTTTCAGGTAAGAAATCCACTCGCTGCTCTCAAGTGTTTCTTGTGATTGCCGTAGTAAACCCGGTCCGAGCAATGACCGATTGTGTGTTTTGCTGTGTTCAGGCCCACATTCCCGGCCCCAGCAACCTCCCAGGGACAGGGGGGGAAGACACTGGGAAAGGTGAGCACACTCTAAAAGGCATGGGTGTCAAAACTAGGCGATATCATGAAATAGATTGTCTTTGATGAAGTCCGCTGCTAGTATCGTGGTCATTTTAAGTGATTGAGAAGTTCGACAAGGTTTGCCAGTCGCCTTAAAAGAAGTTGACCATCATTAATGGGGTGGCTTCTGACACAAACACACCATTTAAGATTTTCATTCAAGTACATCTGCTAGCTGATGTACTCTCCAAACAACACCCGTGTTAATTTTGATTGAATTGTAAATGTATTTACATTTTTCTTGTCGATTCTTTTGTTTGAATGTGATTTTTGGGGATGGTAAATGTACTGCTCGCAATTTGCATTTGGCACATATGTTTAGCTTATGCTGAATCCTCTGAGGTCTTACAGAAGCAGAGGCGAGCCACCCTCCACCCACCTGCAGACGGCCCAACTCCCTCTTCCCACTCCCCCCCTCTACGTGTCGCCCTCCCTGTACCCGCCGCCGCCGCAGCCATACGCCCCCCTGTACACCGCGGGGCCCGGCCTCCTCCCGCCACCGACGATGGGTTACCAGCCTCAGCCCATGTATGCCCCCGGCCCAGCGGGCGTCAACCCTCCCTGGGGGGCTCCCAGCGGCCAGCCCCCACTCCTCCCCTTGGCCTCCCCCCTCAATCAGCCTCCGCTCTCCAAAGAAGATTTCTACAGGCAGCGGCACCACCGACAAGACAAGTGAGTAGTTAGGACGACTACGAGCAATAATCCTAGTTTAACTTTGAAACGATACCCTAATTTAAAATTGTTTCACATTTAAAATACTTGCCCTGTTTTAAATTTTTTATTCGAAAACCCAATCCTTGTTTGAAACCCTCACTCGGAATCCGAACCCTGGCCTGAATCCCTAATTTGAAATCGGGGAAAATGGCACTGAGGACCAATTGATTAGTCCTCGAGCAAGAACGCGTTTGTTGATCACATGATGCCGGAAAGATATCGATGAGCTCATTTTGTTCGATTTTAACAAATGCCACCTTTTGATTTTACAGCATTACGTCCAAGCTTGACGAGTTCACAAAAGACTTCCACAAGGAGCTGATGAAGTACCGAAATGCACCAAAGAGGCAGAGACCTTCGTATTCTAGGTAACTTCATTTGTCAGTGCCTCAATCCTTACGAACCTTATCGCTGTAATCTTAGAGCGACGTTTCTCAACATTTATAGAGCCATGGCGCTTATTCTACGTGACAAAAATCTTAGGGAACATTACCCAAAAAACGTCACAAGACACACACACACACACACACACACACACACACACACACAGTTCTTATCTCAATTTACATTATTTTGTGTCAAACATGTTTGGAAGAACAGAATAACAATACACGTAACAGACACACCTGTCACTGTATGCCGCTGGCATAGATAGATGAGATAAGATCCACCATTTGTTGTAAAGAATTTTCAGACGATTGGAGTGAAAATTTCCCACAGCACATCTTGATATCAAGTGAACATGTTGGCGGTCCTTGCAAACATTTTAGCTAGAGCTCATTTTGCTTTCTTTCTCTGCTTCTTAACCAGGTCCCGATCATATAGCCGTTCTCCGTTCAGCCGCTCGTACACTCGCTCTCGCTCCAGGTCCAGGTCCAGATCACGGTCTTACTCGTACACCCCAAGCCGTTCCCGCTCACGTTCCCGCTCCCACGGGCGCCCGTATCCCCGCTCACCTTACTCCCGACGCAACGGACGCAGCTACGGACGCTCTCGATCGAGATCCCGTTCCCGCTCGAGGTCGTATAGTTACCGGCGCTCCGGTTCGCCGCCCTCCTTCCGCAACGCCGCTTGGGAGGGGACGGAAGGTGCGCCGCCGTTCCGTTCCAGGTCTCACTCCCGCTCTCCGGGCGGTTTCCGGAACCGCAGCCCCGCCGGACGAAAACCGCCACCGCGGGAATTGGCGCCTTATGACCTGAAGGGTCTTAGCCCCGGCAGTCATGACCAATGGGAGCGAGATAGCTACCGGCAATGGGAGCGGGAGTACAGGGAATGGTACAACAAATACTACAAAGACTATGAGAATCAACACCAGGCGATGTATCAGAGGGGCCGCAGTAGCAGGGAGAGGGAGAGAGAAAGGGACAGGGACCGAGAGCGGGAGCGGGACCGAGAGCGAATGTCCCCGCTCCACCGGGAGTACTCCCCCCAAGGCAGAGGAAGAAGAGGTCGAGATGACAAAGTGCCACCGATTCAGAATCCTCCATCGTCGTCCTCGTCGTCAACAAAGACAAATGCCAAGCTCCTGAAGACCAAGAAAGTGAAAAAGAGGAAAGCCGGAGAGGACGGGGAGCAATCGCAGCATCCTGTAGACCGGGGCGACGCCACGCCCGTCAGAGACGAACCCATGGATGACATCCTGTCGCCAAACAAGACACCCCCTGTTTCCTCCAAGTCGGCCTCATCCACTGGCAGCTCCAAGGCTCCTGCCTCCAAAAGTGCCACAACACCCTCAAGAACCTCGCTCAAGTCCACGCCCAAGACCGACAAGAATAAGAAGGAGAAGAGTCAGAAAATAAAACCCAAAGCCAAGACGGATGCTTCCAAAGTCAAAAGCGACAAAGTTAAGAAGAAGACTAGTGAACCTGTGGTGACCAAAAAGAAGGAGCCCTCATCTGCAGCACCGGCGGCAACGACGGCGGCTGCTGCCGCTGCGAAGACATCAAAGACCAGCAAAACCAAGCCCGAAGAGACCCACAACTCAAGTGTGCCTAAAAAGGAAAAGTCTAAAGTTGGTTCTGTAAGACCACCCCTCCTAAAGACACCCCCACTGTTCTCCCAGGGCCTCCCTCTGCCGCATCCGTCTCTCCACGAGAACCTTCGGCCTGGTAACGACAACAGGGGCCGAAGAGACCCCCTGCATGGTGGTGGCCTCATCCCCCTGCCCCACCAAGTGCTCCCCTACCTCCACCGTCCTCCCCCGCGGTTGGGTGAGGAGGGGCGTTCCTTACTCGGGTCTCCGCCCGGAAAACTCCGGAGATTGGACGGACCTGGGATTGGAGTCGAGGTCTTCTCGCACCTGCATGAACCTCATCAGTCGCCGCTCCAGAGATTCTCCCACCCTTCCGATAGACCCGGTCTTCTTCCTGTCCTGGTGGGCCGTGAAATTGTCTGGGCGGACAAAGACCGAGGTGCCATCAGGCCTCTCATGGACTTACCGGTGGGTCTTATCACAAGAACATCCACAAAACGGCGTTCACGCACCATCGGCGCTAGAGTTTGGTTCAGCCGAGCTGCACATCTGCTCTTTAGGTGCCAAAATGTAAATTGTAATGTAGACTCTTTAAATTTCGTCCGGGATCCGCACATGTATCTACTTTTTAATGCGAGGGAAACCCCCACACCGAATGGGGAAAAGATGTTGCGTGCCCACTTTTATTGTGCATCCACATGACCAATGCAGCATACCTCACCAAATGTGAAGTCTGACATAGCACCAAGATGACGTACGTGAGAGACTCAACCCAACTTTTATTTGTAGAGCACTTGAAAAACGACTACAGCTGTATTCAAATTGCTATAAATAAAGTCAGTCAGACTAAAATAAAGACAGTTAAAATGACCAAAAACAAAATGCTAAACACAATAAAACACAAACAATGCTGAGTCGAAAGCCAAAGAATAAAAATGTAGGCTGACCCGAGGCACCTGGCAGGTACATTGAGGTGAAGGAGCCCATGTGGGGCAGACCATTTCAAGATTTAAAACAAGATTTTTACTGTCAAGTCTACAATGTACAGGGAGCCTGTGTAGAAGAGAGGCCAGAATGTGAGTTACACCCCCCCTTCGAGATCCAGTTACGAAGTGAGCCGCAGAATTTTGGACCAACTGGAGATGCTTGAGGGGAGGACCGGCTAACTCTAAAATAAAATGCATGATGGTCATTCAGCTGAAATGTTCACCTCAAAGGCTTTAAAGGCATAGAATCATATATCATGCAGCAGGGGATATAGAACCCACCACAAATTGTGAGTTGCCCCCCGAGCCCCAAACAAAGCTAAGGTGTCTCATTAAGTCAACTCATTAAGTCAACCTAACATGGAGCGTCTTTGCTGTCTATATCCAGGTGAAGCCAGTGACCCAGAGAAGCACCCCCCTGAACAGAGACCTCGGAAAAAAAGACAACCCCATCTCGGACCGATCATCTTCGGGCACCGAGAAGACGACCGCGGACCGATCGGGTGCTGCCAACAACCCGGAGGCGGACAAACCTGCCAGCAATTCCGAAGGAATCGACGTAAAGGAGCGCGCATCTTCTGATGGGGCGTCCAACAAAGAAAAGGCTGGGGAGAAGTCATTTGTGTCGGATAAAGACTCCGACCGGAGCTCGGGAGTGGACAGAGAGCGGGAAAGTAACTGGAGAATGGACAGGGAGCGGGAGAGAGGTTCCGAACGGGGGCGGGAAAAAACCTCGCGCTCGGACAGAGAGCGGGAAAAAGGTACGGCGTCGGACAGAGATCAGGAAAAAGCTTCGGGGTCTGACAGAGATCGGGAAAAAGCTTCGGGGTCAGACAGAGATCGGGAAAAAGCTTCGGGGTCTGACAGAGATCGGGAAACTGGAGAATGGACAGGGAGCGGGAGAGAGGTTCCGAACGGGGGCGGGAAAAAACCTCGCGCTCGGACAGAGAGCGGGAAAAAGGTACGGCGTCGGACAGAGAGCGGGAAAAAGCTTCGGGGTCGGACAGAGATCGGGAAAAAGCTTCGGGGTCAGACAGAGATCGGGAAAAAGCTTCGGGGTCTGACAGAGATCGGGAAAAAGCTTCGGGGTCAGACAGAGATCGGGAAAAAGCTTCGGGGTCTGACAGAGATCGGGAACGGGGTTCAGACAGAGACCGAGATCGGGAAAAGGCTTCGGATCGAGACCGAGACAAAACTTCTGAGCGAGATCGGGCTAAAGCTTCTGACAGAGACCGAGAAAAGACTTCAGACCGCGAACGCGCGAAAGCGTCCAGTTCAGACCGAGATCGTGCAAAAGTTTCAGACAGAGAGCGAGAGAAAGCCTCGAGTTCCGATCGGGATCGAGAAAAGGCTTCGGGAGCCGACCGGGAGAGGACTTCTGAGAAAGAGCGCGACAGAACGTCTGGATCGAGCTCCAAGAGGGTCTCGGCGGTGAAAGATGCCGACGTGGGTGAAAAGCTGCAGAAGGCAGAGCGCAAAAGCTCTGGAAGCGCCGCCGGCAGATCCGTCTGCTTGGACAAAATGACCATCGCGGAGAAATCGGCCATCGGCAAGAAGCAGGGACACAACCAAGAGAAGCCGAGCGCCGCCTCCAAGGAGGCTGCGGACAAAGTGGCAAAATCTGACTGGTGCGTACGACAAAGTCTTGTTTAGTTGGATTTTATTATTATCAAATTTTTGAATGCCTATTTGATGCTTGACTTGCCTTCACAGTAGCGTTTCTAAGGAGAGAACCCCGAAGACTGCGTCCACTGTGAAAAAAAACAATGCCCCTCCCAAAGACGGTAAGCAAATTCTGTGGCGTGTCAAAGTACACCACTTTAGTTTTTTTAAATACCATCAAAACTATGGACTCTTGAGTCAAAATTTTGGGAATGTTCAACCATGAAAGAATGGCTTGAGAATTTAAAAAAAAAATTTTATGTCCAATGACTCCAATCATTTCTTTGCAGCGAAAGAAGGGGAGACGAAAACGGTGAGAACCAAGCCTAAGATTAGCCGCAAGGTCTTGTCGTGTCAACCTGCCGCTGCCGCCAGGTAAGGGCTCGATGTGCTGAGAGGTGTTTTTTCTTTTTTAAAGCAGCGACTGAATTTCCGTCCTCGTTCCTCCGCCTCCTTTTCAAGTCGCTCCACTCAAGAGCCCAAGCTGCCCTCTCGGGAGAAGGAAGAAGAGGAGAAGAAGAGAGACACGTCAGCCACTTCGGATCAGGCGACGCCGTCGATCCCCCCAAACGCTGGGGAGCAGCTCCTCATTCAGGCGCCTCCTCGCTCCAAGTGGGAGCGAGAGGATGATGAAGAGGAGGAGGAGGAGATGCAACAGGTGGCGGCAGTGGTCGCGGCTCCGCAAGAGCCTCCCAAAGCGCCGTCACCCGCGCCGCAGAAGAGTGAGGCCGCCCGAGCCGATAAGAAGGTCGCGGTCAAGGAGGACAAGAAAAGGCCGTCGAAGGACGAGAGCAAAGGCGGCAAACCCGCCCCCAAAGTCAAGATCGTCCGAGAGGAGAGGAAGGCGCCTCGAGGAGAAAGGCCATCGAAAGCCGAGGGAAGGGAAACAAAGGAGGAGGACAAGAACGGTAGCGGCGCGGAGCCCAGGCGGCAGCGCCTGTGTTCGGACCTGGCCCGCGAGACGGACGAGGCCGCCTTCGTGCCGGACTACAGCGAGGGCGACGACGCCTCCGACAGCAGCCCCTCGGCCAGCCAGCGCTCCAACAGCAACCGCAGCGACTCGCCCTCCGCCGCCTCGGGCGGCGGCGGCGACAAGAAGAAGAAAAAGAAACACAAGAAGCACAAGAAACACAAAAAGCACAAGAAGCACAAAGTGACGGACAAGGAGGGCGGCGAGCACAAGCATAAACACAAGAAGAAGAAACACAAGAAGAGCAAAGAGAAGGACTCGGAGGAAACCAATGCTGACAACGAAGAGCCGCGAGGCATCGCCGGAACGGAGACCCCCAAGCCTTGATGCTGCTTGGAATTTAAAAGACGGAGAGTGAGTGAGAGAGAGAGAGAGAAAAAAGACATCAAGCAAGTTCAACGCTGCGATTGAAGTGCCAGGAGTAGCGGAAACCCGGACCTCCAGACTTTGACGCTTCAAAATGAAAAGTACAAAGACGAGAGGAAGTTGAAGCGCCACAAGGCATAAACTGGAACACATCCCTCCGAAACTTTTCAACTAAATGATTTACCATGATGACAACGGGCATGTCAAAGTTGAGGAGGAGCCAAAAGCTGCGCCTCCGACCTTGACGCCACTTTGCAAATCCATTCACTCAGGGATGCTTGGAAGCTTCACGTCTCACCGCCCGTCGTTTCACCGTGTAGAAAACCAGGAAGTCTCGCTTCCTTCCTTCCCTCCCTCCGTGCGGAACTTGGTCACTTCCCCTGTGAAGGATCTCGCGCATGTAAATATTCGTCGCCGCACTTTGATGGCTTCTCCCACGTTTTAGGACGGTTTTCCTCGCTTCGCCGGGATTTGAATCAACGGCGCGCACTTGTAAATATTCTTTGGCACACTTGGACGACTAAGCCGGCGTTTCGGGGCAGTTTTCCGCATTGTGACGAAGCGATTGTGGCGTCGTCATTCGGGGACACGTTTTGTTTGCGTTGTGGCCATTTGGCATGAATGGGAAAACAAATCTTTGGTCCACTTTTTTTTTTGTGTGTGTGTGCAATCACGCGACACTGGATGCAAGAAAAGGGAAAAAAATCCACACACCCGCGGTGCGTTTCGTGGAGCTGAGTGTATTTCGTTGGTAGTTTTTCCCCAGTCTGATTATGAAATGGACAGAAAGTGAAGATTCTCACGGATGATTTGTTCCCCTTTGTTTATTTTTTTAATTAAAAACATTGGACCCTGAAAATCTATTTTTGTTTTTATTTAACATTACCTGTATTTAACATTACCTGTCTCAAGTATGAACCTGACCCAAATTTCACGGCGTGCATCACTTTTGTTTCCCGGCACGTCAAATGCTTTTGGTTACTTGCCTGCGAAAAACAAAACTAACAAAAGGCAAAGAAACATGCTCTTCATTTCGACAGTGATCTCATTTCATTTGGAAACTCCAAACATGGACGTGAGGAAGAGAATTAAACCAAATATGTCCATTATGTTGATATACAATGTACATTTTAAAGATTTTTTCAAAAACTTTTTTGTGTGTGAGAATTGGAAGGTTTGAACGCAGTCATAGATCAAATCTCAAACAGTGGATGCAAACTCTGTTGAAAAACAGATTGCCCATCATTGCCCTAAAGTATTTTTGCTTAAAAAAAAACAGTACAGTACTTGATTTTTATCCGAAAGTGCTATAGAAATCCATTAGCATTTCAAACAGACTAAAATGCTAAAAACATGAAAGACAGAAGCACTTACTTAAAAAAAAAAATGAATACACTATCCAACTTTACAGTTCAAACTCCTTGTTGCCATTTCCAGTTAGACGACAAATAGAAAACAAAATAGTTAATAACAAATCGACATTTGTTAAATCACGTTTATATCGAAATGACTGCAAATGAGTCATACGGTCCGATATTTCCTGGATAATGGGTCCCACTTTGTCCAATTAAAAAAAAATATGGAGGGGGCCGGGACCCATGTGCAGTGAATGCTTGCTGACCACTGCGCGGCGCCGTGAGCCTTGATGACAACGTCATCTCAACGGAGGAGGCACCGAAAGGGCTGAGCAGATGGATTCCCTCCTCAACAGTCGGCTTAGTGTCCACGTTCGCGTCACGTATGTCAGGTCAACGTTAATGGACGCGGCACACGCACACAAGATTAATTTGTGATTTTTAACCCATGCACAGATAGCATCCATTATTCCAGTCCTTCCGTAACAATGATCAGGGCGGCGATTAATGTGTGCGTCCGCGCCTCAGGCATGCACACGTGTGCGTCCATGTGTATTCTTTCTACTGACATCACTTCCTGTCGTCAAGGCTAAAGGTTGCTAAGCAACTTGGCACTCTGTTAGAAAAGATGCTTCGCACTCTATTGTGCCACCCCTTCTTGAGTGTTAGTTTGTCCCCCCCCCCCACCCCAACATCCTCCATCCATCTTCTGTAGCTTAGCCTGCGAGGACATTTTTCAAAATGGAGACCTCAAAGACAGTTTCGCTTAGCCACATGAAATTTGGGAGACCTGTCTTTCAAAAGCAGACCCACAAAAAATGTGTAAATGAGTCACAAGGAGTTTTCCGTTTAGATTAGAAGTGGCCATTTGGGGTCCTTTGGAGTTTTGAAAAGAATTCTGCCCCCCAAAGCCAGCTGCTCGTATAGACATGTCTAGCATGAGTAGACCCACAAAAAAGTATTAAAACCTATGCCTGAAAGGACAAAAGAAGTCTTCCGTTTTGGTCTGAAGTGTTTATTTTTGTTCTTTAGTGCAGGGGAAAAAAAACAACGTGAACACACTAAAATGCATTTGTATTAGTTTTCATGAAATTGAATCGGCATCTTGGGAATACATGTTGCGAATCCTGAAGCCTTACGTAATGATAAAGCCATCAAGCCATTTTGGCAATAAAGGAAAAAAAAACATGAAAAATAGTACTTCGGAATATTTTTTCTTAGAAACAATTATTCCAAATTGAAAGATAACAACTTCCAATATATCCAATATGATACAATTTACTGATTTACTGTCTTTGCCGCTTTTGATCAAATCATATGAAAGTGAAACATACCCACAAAAATATTTCCCAATAAAGGTACAGAGGTTAAGCCATTAAAAACATGATCAAAAAAGGACCTCTGAAGATAATATCAATAAATAAAAATCGAATTTGATCCTACAAGTTATCATTTAAATAATTCCCCACATTGTCAGGGGGAAGCCCCACGCAAACTGTAATTACATTTTGGTGCTCGCCTGCTGCGAAAGCGGAAACTTTACGTTGACACCGACACCCCTCAACGCGTGTTTGCATGTCTGCACGTGTAGACCATTGACCGCTTCATGTGGCTGAGCAATAACCAGGTCAACTTCAGTGGCGTGGGTGTGCGTGCGCAAAAATGGGACGTGCCCTTGGGTGGTCTCCATGGCAATTCCGCCAACTGATCAACGCGTATTGATTGGCCGACCAGTTCTCAGCGTGACTGTGTGTTCGCGTGTGTTTGTGTGCGTATCCATGACAGTGCCGTGGAATGAGACACTTCCCGGTGATGCGATGGTTGCCATGGAAACACACCCATGGGAGGAGACAGAGGGGTGATAATAATGTTTGGCCTAGATACTCATCCTCGACCGAGTGTGTGTGTGTGTGTGTGTGTGTCTGTGTGTCTGTGTGTGTGTGTGTGTGTGTGTGTGTCTGTGTGTGTATACGTGCGTGCGTGCGTGTAAAACGGCATCTGAACAAGGCGTGGTGACAGCGACGCAGTGAAAAATGCATGAAATGAGTTCATGTCAGCAGAATGAAAGAGACTTGCATGAGTTTACGGAACACGCACACGCACACACACACACACACACACACACACACACACACACACACACACACACATACACGCACAAAGAGTGGTAGAGGGAGTCATGACATCATCATCCGGAAGATTCTCGGAAGCGTATCTTTGATGATTACATAATGTGGATACCCTTCCTCCAAGGCAGAGGCTCCCTGGCAAAATCTAGTTGTGAGTGTACCTGAAGCTCAGATGTTGCTAACCAAACCGTCAGCACTTTGCCAGGGCATTGGAGTGGTGGGGGTGAAATTCTCTTTTTGGAGTAAACGAGTGTAAATTGGATCATACGTTGAGTGGAAACGCAATCTTAAATGACGAGGAGCCAGTCAAGAGTCGAGTCGGATGTGTGGTTTCTCCAGAGTTGTATGTGTCCGTATGTAAAGCAAATGAACTAAACACATGTGTAAAGACCAACTCAGAGAGTAAATTCATAACAACCAGCGAACTACTTCATGCCTACCCACCTAATGGGCGACCTAACTATGATCCAAACATAACCATGAATACAAATAGACGAACGACTACACATGTAACCAGCCAATGAGAAAACGGGGATCCAAACATGACCAGTCCTACAAATGGACCTACCGGGTGTGTAACTGACTGACTGACATTTATGTCATTAGTATTTAACTTATGTTGTTTGAAACTGTGCTCCAAACCAATAGGGGACCCCCCCCCCGCCTAAAAAAAATACAATAAATAAAAATGAGCATGCTGAGGCTTTATAATGTCATATATTATTAGCTATATCACAATACAGATTCTTGAACCTTTAAATGCTGTCCTTAGGCGTGTGTGTGTTTGCAAGTGTATGCAAACACAGAGCCACATTTTCTTCTCTGCAAATGCAAATGATGATAATCCACCCCCCCACGCCCCCCCCTCCCAAAAAAGAAAAAAACAAACTAACAAACAAAAAACGCAAGGTTGCAGCCTGCCTGTCCATCTGACTAAACACTGAGCAAAACTAGCTATAAATATCCGAGCAGGCAGCCAGTGGGCATTTTTCTCGGCATCGAAGCAAATTGTCACCTGATAGCGTTTAGTCTAGGCGTAGCAAACACTAACGACATGCTAATCCTCCTCCCCGCTGTCAAGCAACACACTCCAAATTCCAAGCAAGAGTGATGGATGCAATTATTTAGACATGGAAAGCTTCATTCTGCAGAGGGCGGGGGGCAGGGGGGGGCGGAATCTTTGGTTTGATTTGGGGTCTTTGTGGGATTATGGTCTGTCACTGCAGTCTGGCATCATTTCCCGTCTCATTAGTGCGTCCAGTGACGGCCCAGAGCGTCTCGTCTCCTCTTCTCTTCACCAAGGCTAATGTAACATGATGACACGATGATTTTAACACCGTACAACTACACCAACACCCGAGCATCATGTGATCAAAACTTCACAGAATGAATTCTAACAAACAGAAGTAACAGACACACCTTAAAAGAAAAAAAAGCGCTTCGAACATAAATGAACCGTGTCGCAAACTAACTTTTCACTAACATGTGAAACAAGTGACCAAACTACTACTGGCAGTGATTCAAACTTATTTGAATGATCAAAGTAGCAAAGGAATGGATTTAACTAACTAATTAAATCATTAACACGTTGGCAACACATTAAATGGACAAACTAAGTGATAAGATAGCGATTTAACTAACACACCAAACAGAGTAAATCATAACGAATGACTAATATTAAATCAACTAACTCATTAGATGAACTAACCAGCCAAATGAAGTAGCTAACTAACAAGCTAACCAACTGGGATTCAACATAACAAAATGGACCACGGGTACCAAACCAACAAGGTAGCTAAGAATTTAAATAAATGAACTAACAAACTATTGATAAAATGAACCGACAAATAAGTGAACTACCTCACTAATTGCACTAACCAACAAACGCGCTAGCTAGCTCAGTAACTAAACACCTGGGATTGAACCATAAAACAGACTGATCCACTTAACTGAGGGGTGAGTTCACACATTACCAATAAATACTAGCAGATGCTTAAAAAAAATAAAATAAAACTGAATTTAGTTGTAATGCCGTAGCAAACAACCCACGAGGCTAACAGCGTGATTAACACGCCAAAAATCCAAACTAGCTAGCCAACGAATAAGTGAACTAACACTAAGTGTGTACATAAACAACCTTCTCATATAAAACCAGAATAAAAAGCACTTTGGTAGCCCTGGTGTGTACAGTACGGTTTATTTGTGCGAGGGAG